GGGTTGCGACCAATTCGGGCTGCGACCAGAGTCACGGAACAAATTAAGTTCGTAACCCGAGGTACCACTGTACTTTGGTACAGTCCAGGAAAGGGTGCAATTGGTGCACAAAATGAATCTGTGTGAAGGTCCTCCTAGCCATGGCTACAACTGCTCATAGACCAGTAACTGTGAGTCTAGAAAGACCCCCAAATTGCGCGCCAGCTCTGTCTGGAAGAGTGCCTCCCCATCCAGAGTCAGAGATGGCATATCACCAGACCCCAAGGGGCCAAAAATCCATACCACTCTGTCTTGCCAGGGTTGAGTCGAAGTCAGTTCCTCACCATCCAGACCCTCACAGCCTCCAGGCACTTGGCCAGCATAGCAGTAGCATCACTTGCCTGGTCAGGGGTGGAGATGTGTAACTGGTATCATCAGCGTACTGATGATACTGCACCCCATACCATCAAATTACCTCACCCAGTGGTTTCATGTAAATGTTAAAGAGAGAAGAGATCCAAGCTCTGTGGGATCCCACATTGCAGAGACCTAGGGCCCAACTTCTCCCTCCCCCAGCACAGACTGAAACCAGCCATGGAGAAAGGAGGAGAACTACAGCCAAACAGTGCCAATACAAACTAAAATGATAAATGTACAAGGAAGTAAGGCGGTTCCTATGGCAATAACTAATATATCCAAGTACTTTCATTTAATACAAAGTCAAACAGTTTAAACGTTACCAATTTTCACCACTTGTGAAAGAATTCTCATTGCAATGGAAGCTTTAAAATATTTTGCTTCAGTGGAATCTTCCATTCCTTTTTTTCCAACAGGGATTAAACAATCATGTGGATTGTTTTCAGTTCTATCTTTCCCTTCTATTTGTCTCAACATTTTTCCCCCCTCTACCATTAACCCTAACCCTAACCATTCATTCTTATTGCACTTTTTCAGATGTATCTCAGTATATGAATATTTAACTCCATGTTGATAAGCCTCTGTTGTTCTGTTATGCTGTCAGATAAATCCTACAGTCCCTGGGGGAATGAAGTGTGTGTGTATAAAAACAATTATATCTTAACGTTTGATATGCTAGATGGGTAATTTTATAGTATAAGTGCTTTTCTTACTTTTCAGACATAGATCCACAGACATAGATCCACAGAGTTGTAAAGTTAGAAGTGAATTGCGAGTCCTCTAATCCAGGAGGTCTCAAACTTTGCAGTGTCATAGCCCTTCCCCATTCGGTCTGAGTTAGGCGGCCATATAAATGCTTCAGTTAATCAGTCAATCAATCAATAAAACTAATCATTTCATTAGGGTTAGGCTGAACAAGAAATAAAAACACCACTTACCTGGCAGCTTTATAAAATAAAATATTCTCACATTCAAAATTAAAATTTATTTTAATTTTTTTAATGAGAAAGGCGAACTTGCTTAGCTTTGCATAATTCTTGAAATCTGGGTTTTAGACTCAGATATTCTCATGTTTTGTTCCATATGTATTTTAGGGTGATATTTGTTCTTTGGGGCAGCCACTGTAGAAAATTCTAACTTCGTTGGCTTATCCAAGCGGAACAGAAGTGAATTCTGACAGCCAGCTTTAGGCTCCTCTAACCCTAACCCTACCAGATCATGCTCCAGGGTTTTTTCTCTGCTTAATTGGACAAACACACATCTAACTTGTCCAGGCACTCTGTACTGCTAGAGCATGTCCAGAGCAAAGCTTGTGCTCGGAGAAAGTAGTTTAAAATAGTACTTTAAAACTGGATCAACTAAATAGCTAAGTGCAGCTGGTGATGACACAAAGGCAACATCGTGAGGGCATGGCATAAAAAGAAACTTACAGGGAAGTTCATGCCACCATTTGAGACACAAGAGGATAAAACCACTGTCTGGAAAAAGCAGGAACATTTCTCTTTGGTCTGTGGAAATGTTGGCTTCCTCAAACCACCAAAGTTTCCACAAACAATTCTGATTTCTCTAGGCTTATGTTTTCTCTGGGATTTTCTGGAAATATTTGAGGTGGGGGGGAAGAGAGATTTTAGACTTTGGGATAATAATTTTTGCTTGGTTAAGAAGATGGGCATGTCCAGACAAAGTAGACCACTGAATGATAAATTACTGGTCTTTGGAAATTGTTCCAGGGTGCCTCTTTGTTTTGATGGGCTCAGCCCAATGATGTCAGTGTGTAAAAAGTAGAAAAAGAAAAATCATTATTCAGAATGTAAATGATCTTAGCTTGATTGACTTATTTTCTGAGAAATCAGCTTTTGACCAAATTAGCACATGCCTGATCTACTAGGTATCTCTCCACAAGCAAGTTTATCATATCTGGCTATCAGCAGCATAGGCAGATTCAATAGTTTTGTTCTTTCCACTAGCAGACAAATATTTTAACAACTTTAGGATTGCGAGAGATGTATTAAAGTAAATGCCTTTCACCTTTTGATTGTTGTTCTCCTGAATGTAAAAGAAAAACTTACATTTAACTTGAAGTCTCACACTTAACTCCAATATTTTGCACATATAAAGAATAATTTTTTGAAAAAAAAAGGAGGGGTACCCTCTCATAATACCCTCTTGAGATATACCAGTAGCTTCATAAGCACGCTGCCAAACTCTTTAACTTTGCTGATAGAACTACAGTGGTACCTCGGTTCATGAACTTAATTCGTTCCGTGACTCTGGTTGCAAACCGAATTGGTCGCGACCCGAATCAAATTTTCCCACAAGGTTCAATGTAAATACGGTTAATCTGTTCTGACCCCTCCAAATTTGGTCGCCAACCAATTTTTGATCGCGTCCCGAATCAAATTTCCCCATAAGATTCAATGTAATTACGGTTAATCCGTTCTGAACCATGTTTTTTTTTTAAAAACTGCAAAAATATGACACAAAGTAAAGAACAAGAGAGAGAAAGCTAACCTTGCTCGACGCGACTTCTGGCATGGAGGACAGGAAGGCGGGTGGGGAGGCGGATATTGCTTGGAGGGAGAGTCCCCCTCCGTACAGGAAGCCGCGACCACGTGTCATGGGAGGGAAAATGGCTGCAGATCCTGTTTGTAACCCGATCCGGCGTTCGCGAATGGAGGCAAAATTTTGCGAATGGAGCTGTTCATGAACTGAATTGTTCGTGAACAGAAGCATTCGTGAACCGAGGTACCACTCTATGTTGTTCCATCTATGTGAGTCACTTTCTGTGAATTGGGCAGCCATATAAATTTGCTAAATAAATAAAATAAATAAAAATCTATTGGGAAGGCTGTTCCAGCATTAGTAGAACCCTAGCACAAGATGGAATTACTGACGAGTTGGAGCAATGCAGGGGAAAACACACTCTTTACTACTACAATTTGTGGCCTCCCCTATCCACATAGCAACTTTACACATATCTTAAATCTGATGCAAAATCTTTCTGGGAATTACAATCCAAGATAACTAAAGTTATTTGGTTACTATTGTTTCTCTTCCTTTTCTGTATTTAATTTCTTTTTTCCATATCCTTTTCATAGCCTTTTCATGCCTTTGAGATCCTTTAACTGAGACTTTACAGTTTTTAGTATGGAGATGTATTGATTCTCTTTTCTTCGCCCAAGCCACAGCAGGTGGCAGAATCTAACAACCTTGACTTATCTCAAAAAATTAAGCAAAGTTAATACTTGGATGAGAGGCCACCAGGTAATACCAGATCTATAAATGCTAGACTGGAAACTTTTTTAAAAATGCTGGAAAAAAGTAATGGCAAGTTACTTCAGTATTGTCAACCAGAAAGTGGCATGGACATATGTCAGGTCAGCTTGAGGGAGTCTTTATCTTGGTCCTGATTGTTCTGTTCATTTTTATTAGTCAATTTGATCTTGCTCCACAGTTGGCATCACTTTTAATTTAAAAAGTATTGTTTCCCAGCTGCATCTTATATTTTGCAAGTGTTCTCCTAACCCTTGTTTGGGTACGCTCAATATAGGTCAGACGCTCTGATGGAGATAGGCTTTTCTTGCCCTTTGCAGAAAGATGAGCTGCCTTTGGCTCTTCCTCTGTTATTAATAATACTTTATTCGTGATGTTTTGTTGCAGATGGCTAAGAACTAACACATTATGTTCAAGACTGTGATGGCTCAGCTTCCTACAGCCATAAATGGTAAATAGTTTCTTTAAGTTATTTATTTTTCCAATACTGAATAAGGCTCTTCCACTGTGCTAGGTAATACTTTTTAAGAATCTATTATGAACTGATAAGCTGGCTGGTCATATTGGTCTTTTCATTTAAAAGCATTATTCATTCGGTAATTTTGATATGTACACACCATTATATTATCACTTTGCTCTTGGTTTTTATTTTTAAAAGAAAAGTTAATCACTCATAATAGTAGCCTTGCATGCATACATATATATATACTGATAATCCAGTAAGTATGAAGGATCAAATATGCAGTTATGCTCATGAAAAATATACAGGCAGTGCAAAATACATGTTTTTATTTTTTTATGGTTGGTCGCACAGTCAACCAGATGTTTAGACTGGATTTGGCATTTTTATCCACCTA